TTTAAATGTGCGGCTGAAACAGCTTGGTGCAGACAAGAACAAGGCGTAGCTTTGTTCTCAGAAACATTCAGCAGGTTTGGAAATCAGATTTGGGATGAGCCTTCAAAGGCAATAGAAATCACATCGTCATCATCATCACATTAATGGCCCCTGTGACTTGTTATCCTTCTCTTGTAAATGAGACTTCAGACTTGGAGTTTGACACCCCTTTACAGAGAAATCCACAAGTGCAGAGACTAAGCCAAAACCAGCTCCAGTTTCTCCTGCACAGCCAACGCCACCCCCACCTCCAGTGCAACCACCATCTACAGTAGGAGCTCCCAGAGCACCAAAGGTAGGTCAGACTACATTACCCTTCCATTTATAGGAGCCCTAATCAGTGATTAGTCATCGATTAGATGATAATGCGGTTGCTTACAGAAAGACTTCATAGCAAATGTCTATCATGAGGACGTTGTTGAACAAGCGATTGACCAGCAGAAGAAGGTAAAATAACTTATTATTAGTAAAGTGTGAGTGCACAAAACCTGTGCAATTTTGATCACATGTAGGTGAGGAGGACTCGCGATGACGCTACTGTGTCATCTTTTCTTTGTCTATCTGCGTCCTCCACCGAGGAAGCTCATGAAACGCCTCATGGACGGTCCCGGCATATTTGGCGAAGGAAACCTGTAACGAATAGGAAGCCGTGTAGATGAATCGAGTGTGACATGACAAGGCAGAATGTGGCACAGTTGTGCCGTCACGTACCCCTCTCCGCCCCTTTCACCACCTACACTTCCCCCAATTTTGTTTTGTTAGGCCGATGGTGACTCAAGATCAGCGCTCGTCAACACCTCGGATAATCGATCGATGTGGGCACAGAATTTGATGCTAAAAAAGGTACGTTTCTTTGAGGCAATCGATTATTGATAAGCGCTGACAACACAAATTTAGCCCATAAGAGCACTAGCTAAGGAGTTTGCCGCGAATAAGAAAATCAAGCCTGCTGACTACACGACCGAGGCGTATGAGAAAAATGATGCAAAAAATAGGTCAGTTCCAAGTATGAATTATTGTGAGCGTCAGAAAGCGTATGCATGTTACCGCGCGGTGTCAGTATTGCGTAGCGCTTCCTACCCTTGTTAGGCTGTGTTCATACTTTGCGGCAGCGTCCACCAGCGACCATCAGCGTCTACAAGCGACCATCAGCATTTCGAGAGATTGCAAGCGTCTAGGGAAGTATAGATGTCTATGAAGCAAAAGCAGCATCTACAAGCGTCTACCAGGTCCACCAGCGTCCTACAGCAACCGTCAGCATCCAGAGACTAGGATAGTATGGATATCGATCTAGCCACTACCAGTGTCCGCCTGCGTCTGCCAGCGTCCGCTAGCGACCAGGAGTAGAGGGTATGGGGAAGCAGGAGAGCAGAGCAGAGGACAGATTAGGCGTTGTGAAGTTGTGACGTGTACAGCCGCACCGTACTCTACACAATACTATACTCCTGGTCGCTGGTGGACGCTGGTGGACGCTGGTAGACGCGCCGTTTGCTAGTTCGATATCTATACTTCCCTAGCCAAAGACGTGACGAAGTTCGATGGTCGCTGGTTGACGCCTGCTGCAAAGCATGAACACAGCCTTGAAAACACTTTTCACAACAGTAGAATATGCTGTACGCTGATTTTTATACCTTCTTCATTGGGACTCTCCTCCGTATGAGAAGCAGAGGCGCACCAATGAATAAGGCGCAGTAGCTCTAGGTCTCCGCCCACTTCTCCGCTCACCTTGTTATCGTGGAATCTGCCCGGAAACATTGTCAACATTTGGAAATCTTTGCTGCTTTTCAGATACAACGATATTATTTGTATAGACGCTACCAGAGTAGTGCTCAAAGATCGACCACCTGATGATGACTACATACATGCAAGTTGGATGACAATGCCAGATGGACAAAAGTACATCTGCACTCAGGTGTGTTGATCTTCATAGTCGACGCTTTGGGCGCTAAACTGCTCCCCAGCTTGATCTGAAATCAGCTGCTCCTGTACTTTATGATAGATATCGATTTTGCGCGCTTGCGTTCGACATCGCTCTGGCACGCGCCTACAATACAAAGCGTAATGGACTAAAGGTTATCATCCGTTCCAAAAGTGTTTTGCAGGGACCCTTACAAGAATACGTGGGCGACTTCTGGCATATGATCACTTCCGAAAAATGCAGAGTAATTGTGATGCTTTGCAACTTCAACGAAGGTAATTTTAACCCAGATGATAGCGTAGTGGCTAGCGACACTGCGACACTGGTACGTGTCCTTAGCCCTTTTGGTACTATTCGGCCTGTCGACTAAAGACTAAAGCGAATCACAAACTTGCTGAACTTCCATGCTGGCACCTCTAGCCACTGCCGCTAGCATCACTTTTATTGCGCCGTTCGCGCCCCCCCCCCCCTCCTGAATTCAGTATGTTCAGGCAAAGCATGAAAATGTTGTTTTATTGCTCTAAAGAGAAAAGGAAGCAGTCGGAATCTATGGTTGGCATTTTATTAGTAGCCGTTAAGTCACGAAGCCGGATCCATTTGAAGCGAATCACAGCATACAGATGGAAGTGAAATATGGGGTAAGAAAACAGCTATAACTAAGGATATTTCCAAGTATGTAAAGCCCAACATGAGTGAGAGTGGGCGCCCCATTAGGCCTGTATATTGATGTGACCCCGAACTGATGGCGCGCACGAGGGCGCGTGCAGAGGCATCCAGAGCAATTTTTCAATAACTGTAGGGGCAAGAGGACATCTGGAACAAGGCCACTCTGACCGCGCTCCCATTCGCGCCACATCAAACGCCCCAATCAGATCGCTACGAGGATTGCCATGTTTACATCGTACACTCCACAGTCGCTATCCAACACCCATCAGGAGGGCGGGGTTTTGGTCACTTGGACAGGGGTCGGGGGACACCTCCCACAGAACATTTTCCGTTTCTTGATTTTCCTTCTGTCACGCGCACTCTACACCCTTCAAGTTGGCTGTGCGGCAAATCTTCTAATTATTTGGGTTTCGTGTGGTACTGATCGAGGGTGACTGCGCCCTCCCCCCCGTCTCGACTGCTTGAATAGCGCTCATACGCTCACATTCTTCTCATCCAGCCCACTCGACAACCTCGTAGCATTTTCGCTTTGAATCAAAGGAGCCTTGAACAAGCATTTCCGCTTTGGATCGATTGGTTTTTAATTAAAGCATTTTAATTAAAGCAAATCCCTCCTGGTTGGCAAAACAAAACCCTTTCCCAGACCATCTCATGTACCATCTAGAGGGTTCCTCAGCCGCGTCATCTCCTGCACACTTCAATAGAGTATTGCGAGTATTTTGTACGTGCGTACATTTGCTCCGAGGTGTTTTTTCAGCGAAGGTAAAACGTGCACTGTTCATCATCTGGCCTATTTTGAATGGCCGCCCGACCATACGCACACCATTGAATCCAGCACCGACTGTAGGAATGTTAAGATTATCACGAAACCTGTCTGCACGCAATCCGATTACTGTGCATTGTTCGGCAGGTATTGGACGAAGTGCAAACGTTTATTTTGGCTAAGATTTCTGTTTATCGTCGAGATCGAGCATATACAGGGGGGGGGGGCAAAAAAAAGTCATTCCGGCCGAGTCACATATGAGCGAAGTTTTCGCAGCCCAGACAGAGGAAGTGGATATGAGTACCAGGGCGGAAGATACCCAAGATCTTCCTCTATAAGCAGGAGCCGGCTGCCGCCATTCACCTTCATGTACACCAAAATATGAAGTCATCTCCAGTCGCGGCCTGAGTGGAGAACGCCTTTGGAATTCACGTGGCCTCCAAACAGCTGCGGAACTTCTTGAATGGAATCACCCATGGATAGCTACCTGGAGACCAGTACTCTTTGATCTTGCAAGACCCTCAGACATCGAGCAGCTCCGGCAACGTCGCTACGGTCCAGGACATCATCTTCACCCCATTCACCAAGGCGCGGGTTGATGGTGTGGACCGGCCGTACCTGGAATGGGAAGACCGATATTTTCTTTGTAGACCCCGACTGAAGGTGAGCGCTGGCGGTTACATCAAGTAACTCGAGAAGGATATCCTCCCTACATGTGGTCGCCCGTACCTTCTTGGAGACCTTGTGCTGCTACAGGTTTGGGTGCCACCACATGGAATCGAAGGGTTTTGGAAAAACTCCTACTTCGAATGGAAGGGCGTTTCGTACCTGATGAAGATGTAATATTGAATATCCCCTGACCTGAACCCACTCAATTACCTAGTTCGGGCGGAGCTCAACAGGGTGGTCTACAGTGGCGGAGAAATCAACGATCTCGCTCAACTCCGGTACCCACTCACTTTCGCGCGGCCGAATCTCTCGATGGCGCTCCTCCAGAAGGCTGTGGCGGAGTGTTACCATAGTATTTAATTTCCCTCTTTAATATAGGGGGGAGTAGAAGATGTCGATAAAAATTTAATAAAGTCGTAACTTATAGCGCTTGAAGTCTTGGCGAGGCCAAAATACTTGTTTTTTGGCCTCCCTGTATGTTCACCGGTAATGTTTGTCTGAGCGACGAAGGCCCGCTTCGCGAAAGTGGAAAGAAGCAGAGAAGGAGGCTGAGGTGACTAAAGATCCACCTCTTTCTAGAACAGCCGCCCCACTATATCCCTCCGAGGAAAGTGTTTTCGTTTAGCCATCGATTACGCATCACTGAAGATTCGGGAGAAGTCGGACGCTTCAATGGTGGACGTCGTCAGAGACATGCGAAATCAACGATATCAAGCCATTCAGTCAGCCATTCAATACGTCTTCCTTCACATCTGCGTACTGGAAATATTCGCCAGTGTAAGTTAATCTGAGATATCGATTAGTCCTCGAATGCGCCAGAAACTCAACTTCCCTATCGAACTGTGGCGCATCTGAAAGCATACTTCACAGTTTCCTGCCGGAGATCCTTGATATTTTTGTAGCAGTCACGTGGTGGAGGAGGTTGTGACGGGCCCAGAGCCAAACTCGATGCCGCTCCGTATACAGCCATTATTACTGGAGTCTGTGGGAGAGTGGGTACTGGCGCAGTGCCAGCCCTTTCCGACCACTCTTTGATCGCCCAAGGCCTTCCACGGTCGATGGAAAACGGGCTGTTATCGCACCAAAATCAAGCCCCGCTGACTTCCTCCGAGCAACTCCAGCGAATACGACTGCATACAGAGAAATTGGAGCATCCTAGACACTAATAGCCGCGCAGGGCAGACGACGATTGCCCTGGGTTTGAGTCTGTCGGACTAGTCTTCGCTGTTTTCGCCGTAGCCCTCTGCTGAGCGACTGAGTGTAACCGGGTTCTCGGCAGCTGTGTGGATGTGGTGTTCTGACGTACGTGTACTGCACTACGTATCACCCTTAGGCAGCGTTCAGACTTCGCGACGGCAGCGCTTTGGTCGCGCGATTCGACGATCGATGCGCATGCTTTCGACTGCATCGATCGCGTCGAACGCGCGACCGAGCGCTGCCGTCGCGAAGTCTGAACGCTGCCTTACAGACGAAACAATCCTTAAGGCGTTTCGCGCTAAGGGTTTTGTGAAGAAAGGCACCCCCTCGTGCCGCCAGCCTCCCTCATTCGCACAGATTGTGTATTTGGTGTTTTCACATCGTTGAGAACCATCTAAGGCTGAGTGGCTGTCTAGAGCTGAGTAAGATTGAGTCCGATTTTTCGGGCGACCGCGAAGTAAGATGGCGATTAATTGTTCAGGGCCAGTGCTTGCTCACTCCAACGCTGGGCCTGAGAAGAGAACAACCGACATTTCGGGCGGCGCTGGCAATCTTCGAGATGCACCTCTTCACGCTCTCGATTCCTGTTCAGCATCTGGATGTTTGATGGCTCTTAATATGACTTTCTGGGCATGTACGAGTGAGGCAAGGCAGTGGTTCATCCCTCGGCCAATTTAAAGCTGTGTAGTGACAAACGCCACCCTAGCGCTTTCGGCCCTCAACGCTTCGAAAGTGAGGGGAGAAATGACTGGAAACAGGGGAGTGTCGATGTTTTATAGGACAGGCCTATTTCCCAGAGATACGAAATTTACCGAATACATGGATAGCTATGTGTCAATGATCAAGCGTTATAACAAGAAAGTGGAAGCAAAACAACGCGAACGGGAGAAGTCTGAAGAGAAATAAGAAAACGCGAAAGCTCAGTTGGGAAGCTCTCTGAGCATTTTCCAGTTTAAATTCCGCTGAATACTTCAATGACGTGATAACATGCTAATTCTAATTGTATTACTGCTCATCAATGTAAATGAAATCGATAGTAAAGTCTATGGATTGAGAACGTATTTTCTATGATGGGAGAAACTGCTGACAATATCCAGCTATTTCTTCCCTCGAATCTTTTTTTTGCAATTGGAACTGGATTGAAGGGTTGTTTCGGTGATCTTGATGCTGAGTCCAAACATTATTTGCATGCCTCTCCCACTGAGAACGCAATCTGGCGCTTCTTTCTCACCAGAAGTACAACTGTTAGGCTACTTTTCACACCGCTCTGGTGACAAGGGACTCCACAAGAAATGGGTGAAGTAATAGTCCTTCGTTCACTGCGTCCAGAAGGGAGTGTCAACACTGCGTCGCTAGTTGCCGGCAGCGATAACCCGTTCGTACCAGTTTTTAGAGGCAGGTAAACGACCACATTGGTAGCAAACGGATCTGGCGCCGTGCCAAGCTCATTATAAATGATAAAGGAGACGACCACTCATAGGCAGCGAACAAGACTGTACAAGTGTTCAGTAAGTTCCTGCGACAAAGGACGCCACCACGGCACTGTAAATGGATCTTAAGAATGGATATAGTCCAATAAAACCGCCCAGAGTACGCATGGTTGATGTGAAACAATGGGAGAGGGTGCTCGGTACTGTTGCCTCTGGGAGGGGGGAAGGGGGTTTTGAATATGCTGGTTCTTGCAAAATGCATTGTGGTAATTCCGGGGAAAACTGGTAGGCACGGCCACTTGCTAGAAAACAGGTAGGTAGGCTTCGTCGAAAGGTTGGTGAGGTCGTACGGAAAAACCCTCCTCGGGACTGGGAGGAGTGGGGGGGAATCGTACTGACACCCATCTCACATCATCTTCACCTGGTCCCATGCCCATTTGCCATTTCGCCTGGCACTAGTCGCTAGCGGCGTCGGCATATTCCGAGCACTCCGCGCACAGACGGAGACCTATCGGCAACTTTTATTGGAAAACACACAGCACATACAAAACAATTGTTCAAATCTAACATAGGTGGGAATACCGCGCGATGATCCAATGAGCTTTCATTAATTACTCAGATATCAACTTGAATTTTGAACAAATAGTGGTAGATCAAAGCGAAAATCGGTGTTGATGACGGCGGCTCGATCGATGTAGGACAAGGGACAGATGCTCGAGCTCGACTCCGCACAGGACCGGTAGTTGAATACCTGGATTTTGTTGGCGGTTCAAAGCATGAGGCAGACTTTCTCTCGGGCAATTCTAGCTGACCACAAGGTTGAGAGACAGCACATTATTATAGCGCTTTTTTTCTTTATTGGTGCGTCCCTCCTTTTTATCGTATCGGGTTAGACAAAGGGAAACACCAATGAGGGAGTCATGATCACAAGCCTGTCCCGCCTACACGCTCAACATAGAATGAGGCTTCACTCGGTTTTAGAAGGCAGAAGGCACGACAATTAGGACGCTAGGGCGCATGGTTGATATAGACAGCAGGACGGTGGCCATGGAAGTCGGTACCCGCTAAGGAGTGTGTAACAACTCACCTGCCGAATCAACTAGCCCTGAAAATGGATGGCGCTTGAGCGAGAGACCTATACCCAGCCGTTGCTGGCTTGTGCGTTGTCTAGCGCCTGGCCGCAACGAGTAGGAGGGTCGTGGCGGTTGCGTCGAAGCTTTGGTCGTCGGGCCCATCCTGTAGTGTTCCGTTAGTGCAGATCTCGTGGTAGTACACAATATTTAATTAATGGTGCAGGATGGCTGTACAAAGAGAAACTGACGAAAACACGAGGCGACACAGTCAAAAATCGCGAAAGGCCTTTGTTCTGCGCGTCGGTGGGCGAGTACATGGCTAATGCACTGCAGTTCTGGACGTACTATCCCCTATTCTCGTAGTATCATTGCCAGCTGGATCTACATCGCGGTATACTGCGGCTGCAAGTGTGTATTCATGCACTCATACCGCAGCAACCGGCGCACAACATGTGCTCTCATAACGTATATACGGCTGAAGGCTTCTCTGGAGGGAGAGGGCAGGATAGGGTGGGTGTTTTTATACTGAGTGATGTCGAGCCGGCCCTTCGTGTGAACGATTTTGCAAATCGCAGAAAGGCAGACAGGTGCCTTGCCTTTCTTCTGAGTATTTCAACTTCATAAGAATGGTTGAAGCAAAGCGGCTCGGTGAGGGCATCGAGGGGGGGGGCTCAACGAAGCTTGCACAGGCCACTTTTGTGAAGACCTACAAGCAGACTAGCTCGCTTGTGCCATTTCATAGGTTCACAAAAGTTTACAGGTCTCATCGAACTCAAAAACCCTCTTAGTTAACGCGAACTGCAAAAACCAGGCAATGTGTATAAAACTTCTCCTCACTCCCCCCCCCTTACCGCCCTCATCTCCCCGCTACCGAACAGTGCGGAATAGTCATTTTATCCTGCCTTAATCTTTTACGAATATTTTGCATCAACAAAAAGTTGGTAACTGCAAAAAAGCTTTAATATAGAATGAAACCGAGAACTAACCATCTTGCGTTCAGTGTCATAAAACGAATACGTTTTTTTTGACCTGAGGCACAACACTCCGCACTATGAAGTAAGACGAAGCTTCTCAATTGGTTTCGACAGAACTCCTCCAACAGCTAGCTGAAAGAATTCAGGACAGATAACATTTCAGTCATTCATTCAGCAGAAACCTTGGGCAAAACAGATCTCTCATCTTGTAGCAATACTTTTCTCACTTTTTACCCTTCGTTATTATTTGAAGGGTGTACTGCACTGTACTGTACATCCGTTGCGGCGAGGACGGCGAACGAAAAACGTTTGGAACCTTGGACCCAAGTTGGTTCATTATCGTGCAGTGTATGCCACGTCAAACTAGCAGGAAAGTCCACTTTGAGCGACTTAGCCATGACTTAGGTATCCTTGAAATGAGTCGCAACGCGTTTCTCGATCACAATGTAAGCGCTTGCTCTAGGCGTAGAACAATCTTGGCGAGATGAGGGAGAGAGGCCACATAAATAAAGCAGGATTGTACCTCAACAGGCTTTCTGTGATACACGTGCACTTCAAGACTCGATGATAGGCAGCGAACGTCTACTGCGATTTGGTGCTCCTAGGTATAGGTACTTTAACTAACCCGCCCCAGGCTGGATGGAAAAGATAGTAGACCTGGGTGAGAATCGGCTCTGCAGAATTGCTTCTCTGCTCATTCTCATGGTTTCCACAGCCAGTGGCGCTGCTCTGCCACTACGCTCTTCTGCATTATATTTGCTAACCTTTCGCTCCCGAACGGGCACGAATGGTGTCACAGAGGTGACTAAAGGAAAAGAGCGAGCATCATTTTCATATTTATTTTATAATCACGTTATTGTTGTTGTTTATAATATAGAAAATATAGAGGTTTATCGACTCTAAATGAAGCATCCCGAGGCGCAAGCCTGCGACAGAACACCTTGAGATCGGAGCATCAAACGACGAAGGCAACTACCTTCACACGGAGACAGATCCAACCACCGATGCCGACTCAGCTAACCCTGTTGGTAACGATTGGAGCCTGCCGGTATTTAACCGCTTCTCGAGTCAGCGACATACAACACTTATGCGCCTCTACTCCTCCCACGCGG